GGGCATTTCAGATGTTTGAAGATCCCAAGCTACTCTCTCCTGGGCAGCAAGCGGTGGCGGTCCACTTAAAGTAGGTCTGCATCTTGGAGACATTTACAATGTTCTCCGTAGATGTGCCGAAAATAAGTACACATTTGGGCCAACTGATGACGACAGAGGAGTGGTTAGAGAATTCATTGCATTTTTAAGACTTCTGAAGGTGATCCTGATGCTGAGCAGGTGAGGGTGAATTTATGATGGGCTTTTTTTACACAACTCATGGGCGCTCAATTAGTCATAGACAACATAGAATTAAGGGTAAGATAACGCCTCATCATTACATTATTACACAGTGCATTCTCATGTACCAAAATTTCTTAACAGAGTTAGGTTTTTTATTTTTGCATTTGTAACAGGCATTGATACTCCTTATTATTATAGTAGAGGGTTTTACGGCGCTCAAAACTACAAAAGGTCATATGAGCGCCAAGGGGTGGGTTCAACAGAGAAGACTTATTCTGCTCACCTCTCTAGCTTCAACAGCACAAGGTCTGCTTCGACTATCAAGGCACCCCGGAAATAGCGGGTCACAAGAAAGTGACAAACATATAAAAGAAGTAGAGGAAAATGACAATTGTAAAGATCAGGAAAGAAAAAGCAGCAGTTCCCTGTTGTAGATCAGGCACAGTTATGAGCGTGACACGAATCAGCCCATTTACAATTCTACTGTGCTTGAAGGAGAAATGTCCTCCCTTTGGGAATGGCCTAAAGACACTACAGTCAGTGGCACTGCCCTGGGAAGATTTGATACTCCCTTAGGGGCAGGGAAGACAAAATGCAAAAACAGAAGCAGTATACAACAAATGATTTTTCCCTTCGAGTGTTCACCTTTAGGTACTCTTTAAAGCATGGTGGAGTCATCTCATTCACATTATGACAGAGCAGCAGCCCAAAATATTCTTGAATGATCAATTTCTGCATTGTCTCCCAAAAGTTCCAAGTCACAATTGCAGACAGTGTACCTCGAAATTGTATTTGGAACCACCATTTAAAAGTAAATGTGCAGAAAGTAAAAGACCTGCTGTGAGGATCGACCTATTTAGCATGGAGTTCAACCAAAACATTTTTGCATTCTTACAGCCAGAAAAAAAACAATGTGACATTTGAGTACCAAACAGCATGGGCAGTTCACAAAGACACAGCGAGGCAAGACAAAGAAATTAACAAAAAGATAGCCTTGGAAACCCAAACAAAGGAACTATTAGATAGAGTGAGCATTGTCAGCATGGATCTTCAATGTCTCCTGTTGAGTCCCATGCCCAAAGCCTCCTCTCTGTACAACCGAAAAAGTTAGCTAAGCACAACTTTAGTGTCTACAACATGGTAACCCGGGGCATGAAATGTTATGTCTGGGATGAAGGAGAAGTTTACTGACTTCTGATGAATTTTCATCTTGCATAATAGACTACATTCGTTCCCTTGCCAAGACAGGCAGAATAATACTGTACAATGATGGATGCCTTTAACAAATTAAAAATGACATACTAGCCAGTGTCATTTCAGCTTTAGCTCAAGAGCTCAACATAACAGTCGAACAAAAACACTTCACTCAGGGACACACCTAAATGGAGGTCGATGTGGTTCATAGCATCATTGAGCGATCCCTCAGAAACACTTTTATACACTTACCTTCCAACTTTGTTAATGTCTTCAGACTGGCATATCAAAGCCATCAAGTAAGATACCTAGACCACACTTTCTTCCGCAAATAACCATCAGTAGGAAAATATTCGATCATTCGTAGAAAAGTCGGGACGCAAAAGTGGGTGACATACCAACGCTCCACTATTGTACAGCAGACAAGAAAAGTGCCTCGACATTTTCCATCTCAGATGCTGCGGCAAGATCTTAGGCATTTCGTTGCGTGACAAGGTTACAAATGTAGAAGTGTTGGCCCCGGCAAACTTCCAGAGCATGACAACTATCCTGTATTTAAAAAGATTGAGATAGCTGGGCTATGTCAAGAGAATGGATGACAACCGGATTCCGAAGCAACTTCTCTATGGAGAACTTGCCCAGGGAAAGAGACCAAGAGGAAGACCAAAATTGAGGTACAAAGACAACTGCAAAAACAGCTTATCTGCACTGCGACAGAATCTGCGCTTCAAATATAGGAAAAATTAGCCATGAAAGAAGATGCATGAAGACAACCTTGAGACCATGTTAAGCTAAACTGACGGTCTGCATAGACGAAAAGAGCCATATATATATATTATTCCTTACAAGGGGACATTAAACACAAGCTTTCTTTCTATAATTACTTGCAAGACATGCCCAAACCACACAACCACATGTTATCAAGCACTACTGCTCCTGCACTACACTTGCAAAGAAGACTTAACACAAGTACAAAATACCAATATTTACTGAAGTCGAAAAGAGTAATTGCGGCTCAGACCCATGTCTTTCATGACATCTTAGAGCATGATGCGGAGGAGTTAACTTTTGGGCATTTAAAGTTATGGCATCATCTCAAAGCTTGTTTATTTGTCTTGTTTTTGGAGGGAAAAGTACCCATATAACTAGAACACAAGTTGAGATATTTGCAAAAGAAGGAGGTTAGGGTCTTTGACTCACTTGTCAAAAGACGGGGTACCCACCGCGCAGACACCTTATTAATGTTAAGATGGTTATGGAGAATCATTTCAATTGACCCTACACTGATTCCCGCTTCACTTGAATTTTCTTACCCAGTATGTCAAGGTATTATAACGAGGACATTTGTCACCATAAACTTAGACTACTTCCTGAAAATGTCTGAAGGGGATTTTCCTTGCAAGTGTAAAACTTGATATCTGAGGGATATTCAACAGGCTCCATGGCACAGCTTCAGAAAAGAAAAACCAAACGTTTTTGTGCATGGTTTCATTGAACACGCTGACTAGTGCTTTATTATTGTTGGATTTTCCCAAAAATTAGCATGGTGTGTTCCAAAGAATTTGTCTAAAGGCTGGCGAAATTTCATTACTCTACCGTGATTCTTTCATACCCAGACCAAAGACTTATTTAACCCCCCTCGTACTAAGGGGATCACAAAAAATACCTAGCCAGTTATCTCACTGCAAAAACATCTTTTCACGAGATGACATATTATTATATCACCCTAAAGATAATGCCTTTACCTTCTTTTTGTATCAGTTTCGAAGTGTATGTATAAACGTGAAAAGAATGAAACAATTTTTTCTCCCATCTGAAAAATTTTGCTGGGACATTTTATTATCTGGCCAACGATAAGCATAATATCTTGTCATGGACTCTGAGGAAAGGAATAACTATGGGAGCAGAAAGACCACCACCACGTCACCTTTCCATTACAATATTGACGCCCATTCATGGCAATGATGACAGCCTAAAATAACATTAAAAAGCCAAAGAAAAAAATTCCAACTCACCCTCTCCAGCATGCCCACCATGTAGCGAGTGTCATTGAAAGCCCCAATCTCCTCATGACAGCGCCCATACACTATGGCCATTGCTTGTAAACACATACACTTCATGTTGACCTTTGGGGTCAGCAAGAACCGGTGGTACAGGTCATTGAAAAACTCATAGCTGAAACACATGAAAAAGACAAAAATTAGTCAAGAGAAAGTGATGATATGATTTATAATCTAGCAGAATATTGTCACATCACTCATAGTTATTCATTCCATGTGCCAATAAAGAGTTTAAGCCATGGTTTTTAGTCTTATATCCTTTCCAATTGAAGGTTCACATGATTTTACAGTATCTTTTCTCTTTGCATGCCTATCCACTTAAATCATCATCAGACTCCAGGGCCAAAAGTACAGTGGGTACAATTACTTAAAACTAGAACAGAAAAAAGTAAAAAAGGGAAATGACAAATTGGCTTAAGTTTTAAAGAATGACATTCCAGTCTAAAAGACAGATTGGCATCACATCAGTACACTTTTGCACAGATGTTAAAATGCCCTCATCACTTACGACTTCTTTATGGCACTTGTTTCCTCTGTGGCCTCATCATCATCTTCCTCAAGCAGTAATCTCAGGTAGTAGTCCCCTGGTGATGCATTGTCATTGATTTTTATACTGGTCACAAATCAGTAAAATACAATAGTAAAATACGGAATAACCCACATAAAATAATGGCGTTCTAAGGGAATGCTCACCTTGAAAGGTGCACAACACAAAAAGGTTAAGGTGCAGAAATACAGCTTCCTATCATCTGCACAGACATGTATCAAGGCGCAGTGGAATCAGGCGTTCGCCATTTTTGGGGCATAAGGAGTATTTGGTATCATCTTTAATCTTTTTTATTTGTCTTGCTTTTGATTTAAATAATTATCCATCTATATTTAATAGAAGTTGAGATATTTGCGAATGAAGGAGAGGGGTGGGGGGGTGGGGGGGTGTGTGTGTCACTTGTTTCCCGAGGTAAAATTTGCGAGAAAATGGCTGCCAAAGTCATGTAACTTCTATAGCTTGAAAGTCCTTGAAAATTGAAAATTTACGTATTTTGTGCCATAAATCAAGGTTTTCCAGTAAAATTCATATGGAAATGTAGTTCAATATGGAAGGTGTTGAGCCAAAAAATGAAAATTCTACAGAAAATGGTTTACTGGAGGAAAAAAAGCTTGTTTCTTCGATTTCATTATTTTGACGAGCACCTGATTTCACCATGATGCCTCACATATGCCTTTTTAAGAGTACCTCGATCAATGATATATGTTGTTCATGTTCCAAGAGCTCGATAATATTTGTGTGAGGCTCTGAGATAACCCGTCCGATGGTGCAGAATTTTATTTTGAGATATCGGCGAAAATAGGCCCTGGACTTCATTTTTATAGAAAACGAGATTATTTGAAACTAAGAAAGATAAATCGTTCTTACATAAAATGTTTCAAGGAGAATCCGTTTTAAAATTGTTAAAGAATTATTTTTTAAGACATATCGTCGCCGAATTATGCCAAATTCCTAGACAAACTCAATCGGATGGACACTTTCTTTTCACAGGAATCCCAACATATTATAAACCAAAAGAAAGAGAATTTTATTGCCGTTTCGGGAAAACCAAGTGCAAATGAATTTCAAAACATCACAAATAGTTACAAGAGTTGCGCATCTTCTAGATTCACTTCTGAAAAGGTTATGAGTGCCATTTAACCTTCTTCTGTTCCATTTCCTGCCTTTCAAACCAAATGTGAACTGTTCCTCATTGAATTTAAGTTCTTTGTTCTGCTCTGCAAAGTATTTTTTTTGTTTTGTTTACAGTAAGTAAACTGCAAGTTTTTTGTTTCCAAGTAATTGAGCACTATTGTTTACTTAATTTTAAATTGTTCCCAAAGTAAACAAAACTTAAAAACCAGTTTTCTCAAAACTTCACCTTCGGACCCTTTGAATTTTAAAATGCCATAACTTGTCACAGAATGCTCGATTGCACTCAAATAAAGTGCAAAATGCTCTGGTAAGATGCGCCTTTCAAAACGACATGCAAAAAAGTCACTTTTGAAAATTTGCACCATGTGAAGGGTCTTCTCAGAGCCACACACATTTGTCAAAACACTTTTTTAATATTCTTTATTTTCCTCCACGTTTGTCTAAACAAATCATAATTTAGCATTGTCGACATCAGAATGTCTAACGAAATAACCAGACAAGTTACAATGTCCGTTCTTTATTATGTCTCAGTAGCAGAAATTTATAAATACTAAGGGTGCATTAAATGATAATTACCGTAAGTACAACAATACACCTAAAATTTTAAGTTGAAAAGTACCATGAAGTTAGCCTGGCCATAGCGGCAACAGGAAGCTGATCCCCCAGGACCCTAACGTGATTAGGTGCTTTGGGGGGGGGGGGGGGGGGGGGGCTCTTCTCACTCAACAGAATAACCAGAATAAACAAAAAACAAAGACAGTCACAGTTTGTTAGCCAGAGTAAAAAGAAGCACATCGAAACAACGACAGACAAATAAAGAAACAACAGTGGAAAAGAACAAAAGAACCTGCAAATTCACCCTCCAACCATGAGCGAACAACCACAAGGAACAAGAGAGAACAGCCAATAGGAACAAGAAACCATGAGAAAAACAAAACAGAAATAATGTACAAGGGAGAACAGAAACAACAAGCAAGGGGAAAATGCCTAAAGAAGAAAGAGAAAACAACGGCAAGAAACAAGGAAACAAAAGCAATAATTGAGAAAGAACAGTCATAAGAAACAAGAAAGAACGGTCATAATAAATAAGAGAGAACAGCCACAATAAACAAAAGTAAACAGAAATAATAGAGAAATAATAGCCACAAAGAAACAAGAGAAAACAGCCAAAATAAACAGAAACTATTACCAATACATGAGAGAGAGCAGTTACATTTCATACACATTCCAAAAAAAGGTATTAAGTAATAAGTGTAATATACCAATAATGTTTTGAACTGAAATACTTGGGACATCTCATTTCAACCCAGTACAACATTCACCTTATGAAAATTACAAAAGACTGTTGCTAAATCAAGTCATACCACTTTTTAAAAATCTACTTTTCACTCATAAAAGCTTGTTCTCCAACAACTTTCAACAGCTAAAGGGTCACCAAACAAACACCAATGTCCCTCTATGTGTGTAAAGGAACCCTGAATTCTGTCAAACCACATTTGTATATTAACTATGAAAACTTAGTACTTAAAAACCACCTACCTTTGGAAATGGTCCTGAAACCCATAACCAAGAAGTCCAACCATGAAAAGTGGCTTGTAAAGCAAACATTTTACAGCTAGATTAAATACAGCCCCTCCCCACTCGCAAATCGGTCATATTATACAATCTGTAGAAAAGAAAAAAAAGGAGAGGCAAATACTAAGGAAAAAATAATATATTTTAAATAATAACAGAAAAGGCCATACCAATTTTGATCTCATCTGCAAGGCAATGGTAGGGCACCTCAAACTCTGTGTGGTTCCAACCAACAATGAAAGTGGCCCCAAGCTCTTTGTCCACATTGAAAGCCCTCATCTCATTCTCTAAGCTCTCTCTCAACTCCTCTCGGGTCTTGTAGTTCCAGATCAGATTCGGTTTTGCGTGATCCTGACAAAAGTGGAATGTTTTGAAATTATTTTTCAAAACTTTAAAAATAATTGAATGATTGGGAGGGGGACCTTCAATCCAACTTGGCAAGGATACTGGGTGCAGCAACAAATGACCACTTTATATTGGCCTTTAAGTTGGGAGCAAAATTTTGAAATTTACAGGGCTGTATCCCTCAAATGTCTAATTTCAGGTAGATTCAGGGTCAGTTTCAGGTATTTTGGCCAAAAATCAGATATAGCCTGTTCATTTTTGTCTGACCACAATTAACGCAAGATAAAATCAAATCGTTCTATTTAATTAATCTTCTCAGATTTTTGGAAACAGGTCTTAAAGTTGGATGAATAACAGAAACTAATAGCAAATTCGTAAAGGTTTCTACAAACTAAGGTTCGAACACGTTTCCTGCTAGCCCAAAAGAGAGAAAAATAATAGGCAACCTACAGCTTACACCAAACATTAGTCTTAGATATTTACAAAGTTGACCTATTTTAAGAAACCGAGATTTTAACGTATGTATGTGTAAGAAATACATCTTGTCCTAAGGACGAGTGAGCACTTTTCAAGATGAGTGGCAGGTCTGTTTTTATCATGTTTCTGCACTATTATTCACAAGCTGTGTGTTTTGACTATCACTGTCATCAGGCCAGTATCGGAGAATCTGCACGGTAACAAAAATAAAAGTAGGACTTCACATTCCTGATCAAAACTGCAAAACTAACACAACGAATGCCACTGACAAAAACTGAACTTACTGACTTTATCAGAACAAGAATTCAAACTATGGAAGACTTTCAGTTAAATATTTTCAACTTCAAAGAGTACACTTTAATCGATGAAAGAACCTCTCACCTGATTGAACTGATAGTAGAAAAGGGGCCAATTGGCCTCACTTTTAACCCTCTGGCGTCTCTTCCTCAGCACTATGGGCTTCTCATTTTGCTGTTGCTGTTGAAAGTAAGAGGAAAGAGATGGGATGAGGTGTGTGTGTGTGGGGGGGGGGGGGGGAGCAGCTAATCAATTAAGTCAAAGATCACTTTTCAGCTTTAATTTCTTGCGTAGTTGCTGTGGAGTGGTGAACAAAAGTGAGTGAGCAAGATGTCATCCACAAGATTAGGACAACAGCAACACTGAAAAAGACCAGAACCTCGACCAACCACCCACTGAGTTCAATTCTTTTATGAACAAATGGTAGACAAAATAACCGCCCCTAAAATACAAAAAGAAATAAATCTAAAACATATATTTATGTTTAACTCCTTATCTCCAACAAGCCTCTTCAAGCAGCTCGAAGTCGGAACAGCTGTGCCGGTGAGCCGCTGTTAGTGGTTCGGGCACATTCCTTTATGACTTCCTACATCAAATTACTTTAGCCAAAAACAGGTCTCTTTTATCTGGAGTTCATTAATTAGATGAAGAATTATCAGAATAGAGTCACTTGTTTTGATTTAATGAACAATTTAGTGACATCATCATCATCATCCAGTGCCAGATCGGCGATCATGGTTCTCCATTCGTTCCTTTGCTCGGATGCTCTCAAAAAAGCTACGTTTCTCTGATCTTTCCCTGTTACCCATTTGTTTAGGTTCCCTAAGTATGTTGTTCTGGCCTTCCCCTGCCTCGCTTACCCTCAACTTTGCCAGGGAGAGCTAGATGTTCAAGACCCTTACGTCTATGCGTCCCAAAAACTGCATTTGTCGTTTCCTGATCGTTTTTAACATTGAGCGTCCCACCTGGGCTTCATCAAGCACTACCTCATTTGATTTCTTTTCCTTCCACGATACTTTTAGCAGTCTCCTAGGAAACCACATTTCTGTAGCTTCTATTTTATTTTCACCGTCTTTAGTGATTGTCCAGCATTCACAGCCATACAGAAGGGTTGACGAAACATAGCATTTCAGAACTTTCATGTTAGTATTCATTGAGATGTTTCCATTTTTCAGGATTGGGCTCATTTTATTGAAATTAGCCTTAGTGACATATATGTCATTTTAGATTTCATACCAAAAGCTGCAAAGTTGGTTTTGCCCCTCGGAAGGAGTTATAGCAATATGAACTTTATGTCATGGTCACATACAAAGAGGTAAACAGGTTTTTGTGGAGCAAAATACAAAATATCTATCCATTTCCTCTGTTTTTCTAAAGTCTTCAAATCTTCCTCAAAGCTGGATTCAAATCACAAATGCTCTTCTCTCTCAAAAGAAATATTGTTCTCTCAAAGTTAACACCAACCTTGCTTTTATCAAGCCCTACGCGAGACCTCCAGTGCTGCAGCAGGTTATCAATCTTTTTCTCCAACATCAGTAACTGTTGGTTGCGCTTGTTCTTGTTGAAGTGGTCCTGTAATCAGAGGTCAGGAGAAATGTAGACATATGTGAAGCAGCGTGATGAAATCAGGCGCTCGTCAAAATACAGAAATTGGAGAAACAGACGTTTTTCCGTCAGTTTGGGAATTTTTATCAAATTGTTATTTTTTGGCTCAGCCTCTTTTATGTCCATATAAAAACACATTTCCATGTGAATTTTGCTGAAAAACATTAACTAAAGGCTTAAAATATGTCATTTTTCTGTTTGCAAGGACTCTTTAGCTATTGGAGTTATCCAACTTTGGCAGCCATTTTTTGTTAATTTCACCAGGTGACCTCACTTCCTTCAATCGCAAATATTTTGAGTTCTATTCATGATAGATGAATATTTATTTCATTGGAAGCAAGGCCAATATATCAGTTTTCAGATGAAACCAATAGCTCCACAAGCCCAAAAATTGCCGAACGCCTGATTCCATCGTATCGAGACACATATGTAAATGGAAAAAAAAGACTCTAACAGAGAACAGCAAAATAATAAAAAAACAGGATAAGCCTTGTTTAAACTTATTCTGAAACAAACTAAATATAGCTATCAGAAAGACTTATAACTGAAAAATCTATTCAATTGTACAAAATCTATTCAATTGTACAAAAAAAAAACAATTTACGAAGAGTCTTGGTTAATTATTTTTTTGTACAATAGAGTAGATTTTTCAGTTATAAGAGATAAAACACAGATATGTGTCATAACACTGTGGAATCAGGGGATCGTAGATTTTTGGGCATACGGAGTTAATGGTATCATCTTAAGCGTTACCATTTGTCTTGCTTTTGGTGAAAAAATTATCCACCTATCTTCACTAGAAGTTGAGATATTTTGGATTGAAAGAGGTGGGGGTCACCTGGTTTCAGAGAAAAAATGAAGACAGAAAATGACCGCCAAAGTTTGATGACTTCCACAACTTAAGAGTCCTTCGAAACTGTAAATTTAATAATAAATAATAATTGCATTTATATAGCGCATATCCATGCTCAAGAGAATGCTCTATGCGCTTTACAACTATTATTACCCCAGCAGACCCTCTGAGAACACTCAGAAACATTCTCAGCTTCCGTGGAAGCATGCAGGAGCAATTTACATTTTTTGTACCTTTAATCAACGTTTTTCAGTAAAAGCCACACAGCAAATTGTTTTTAAATGGACATAAAACGTATTGAGTCAAAAAATGAAACCACGAAAGTTTGACCAAAATTGCAGAACGAGACGAAAAATGCCATTTTCTTCCATTTCAATATTTTGACGAGCATCTAATTTTGCCACACTCCCTCACATACTATATATGGATAAAGGACAGGTGAAAAAGAAACAAACTATTAAATTTACAGAATGACATTTACTCTTCAGTTGATCATAGGAATGCAAAGATCAGCAACAGGGAAAGTGGAAAATTAATATAAAAAAAGGAATGAGTCCAATTACAGAAAGAAAGACTAGACACTGCTAAATCAGTACAAGACCAAATTTTGAGAGTACCTGAGCTAACTTGACATTATCTCTGATGTGCAGTCGGTCAGTCTCAGACATAGGGACATCATCTGCTGAGTCCAGGTAGGTAAGAAGGCCACTAGGCTGAAATACACCATGGGGGATGCACAACAAAGTGAAATCAGCTAGGAGACATAAATATCAGGTACTATTGTCCTGAAAACCATTGACCAGCGAAGCATCAATAGAGCAATAGTTAAGGTAACAAAGGAAGTCACTTGCTCCATTCGGACGTATAATGTTCATCTATTGCACATTAGGCATGATGTAACTCGGCATGAAGGAATCTTGGCATGGGAAAGAGATTTACACCATTACATGGTTCCGAATTTTGTAAAGTCTTTTTATTCCAATAATCATTATCGCAAAAGTCCGCAATGCTGTGGATGGTGAAAACCCACCTTGAAATGTCACTGATGGATGGGCTTCTACTTATTGTAAGCTGAATTTTCTAGAAGCACGGAGATCGTTCGTAGAAGAAACCAACCACCAGAATGTTAATAATAGATGCATGAACATTGCAAAATTTCATGGGGGCTCTCGTGGCCTAGAGGTTAAAGTGTTGGCCTCTCATTCAGAGGTCCCGGGTTCGATTCCGGGTAGCGACCGAAAAATTTTCTTCTCTAAAATTGTCTCCTTTCACCTCCTTTCCTGCTCTCTAGAAATGTTCTGTTGTCTGCTTTCATTTCCACTTTCTGCCCCCACCCCCTCACCTCCTTTGCCCCCTCCTCTGGGCTCCTCTTTCTGCAGCCTTTCTACTGCTACTCCTTGGCTCCTCCTTACTGCTGTCTTTCTGCCAACCCCTGATCTTCTGGTAGGAAAGATCTACACCTAGCCTTCTCGGACAAGGGCGAAAAATCTCAGAGGGCCCGTGTGCAAGTTGTGCACGTTAAAGATCCCTTGGTGGTCTAAAATCGATAAGAGTAGGCTTCGGCTGCCACCCGGGCAAAATTCCAAATTTCCTACCAACTGTAAATATTAGGTGCGTCCCGCGCGCTCATATGACCTTATGCAGTTGCGAGCGCCGTAAAACACTTTACAAAAACAAAACAAACAAAAAATTTAATGTTTTTAGGTATAGAGATGATTTGTCAACCTAGGATCCAATTTGACAATACTTCACAATGTGGATGAAATGTAAAACTTGATCATTCATAGCTTACCAAGATTCTCTTCAGTAGACCCATAGCTGTAGGGTGTCCAGTCACCCACAGGCCCACTAAGTGACGACTCAGTTGTCTAGAAACAAAAGAAAACTCCAGCTATATCAAAACAGTATCAAATTACTGACTAAAAATCGCAAGCTTGTATCAGTCCACACAGAACTACACAAGCCAGGTGGTAAAATATAGATATACAGAGCAGAAGTGCCATTCTTTGTAAGATACGGTTGCCTCCACCTAAATGCACACCAAACAAAGGCACGCTGTGCTCAAACGTATGTTTCCGTCATATGTTTTTTTTTAACTATCAAATTTAGACGTGCAAACATCCTTTCCTCTAAACGCACGCTCTGATCCATGAAACACACCAACAGGTAAAACTTGATAAAGGAAAATTTTTGCTCCAACTTAGTACAACTTACACAGCTGGCATATAAAACAAGTTCAAACAACCAGATATTTGACAAGACTGCCCCTCATGCAGAACAAAGAAAGTGATGGAGAACGTTAACTTGTCCAACTGTACATGGAAACATAGGTCTAGGACTGGAAGAGTGATGTCTTTTGATTGGTCACTCGAAATGCATCTTTGAGACAAGGTTTCTAACTGGTGTTCGGGTGACTGTCATGTTCAGTAAGGCCTATGAATATGATGTGCAACACGAGTAAATGTAGAACACAAGATAGGCATATATAGGATTAAAGATTTAACAAGTGATCAGCTGCGCTCAAAGAATTTATGACGTACTTTTTCAACAAATCACATGAGAAAAGTCTCTCAAAATGTCTGATGTCATCTATGCATTTACCAAGTTGCAATCGATGATGGGCAGTCAGGAGTAGTCCCTTGGAAAGGCTGTGGATTAGCACTCTTACCTATGACTATCACCAACAGCTGCTTTTTTTCACCCCTTTTTTAGACATGACCTCGATCGGGGAATCCTTTGCAAAACAGTGTCACGTTTTGTCACAGTACATGTATCAGCAAAAGTGACCCCTCCCCCAAAGGCAGGTCACCAAAATATCAAGGAAATGAGACGGTTGCATCCCTTTTCCTCTATGTATGGGTTCACAAAAACTCACGCATCATGGAAATGCATGTTTGAGAGTTTTCTCAAGCACTGTGCCGTTAGGCAGAGACAACTGTTTTTCAATTCATTCGCAGTATGTAAAGTCGCTTCCAAAACAATTGAAGATAGAAAAGAAACTTACTAAAGGGTTGTGGATTTTAAAAAAAAAAAATTAAGGTGAGTACTATCTAAATCTGGGATTCTGTAACTTTCACTGGTGGCAGACAAAATATAAGGGAGAATTAACACTTTAAAAAAAAATCATCTCATGTATCAAATTGAATAAATTATATAAATGGTATTTATAATACTGAATAACAGCGTGTGGAGTATTAACTACTGAAATGCGATGAGGGAAACAGACAGAAGAATAGAACGTAGAATGAGTCCAAAGATGAGCCAATCACTGGACATATGAATGGATGGACTGTAAGATGGAATGATGGATGGACAGATGGATGGATGGAAAGATGTACAGCTGGACCGACTAAAACATGGCACAAAAAGGAATAGGCAATTATTTTAATGTGAAACTAAAAAGTTTCCAATTTCCAATTAAAATTTCAAAGGAAAAGGAGCAAAATGAAAGACAAGAGAAAATAAAAAGGGGACTTGAACAATATCAATTGTATTATGACAAAAAAGAGATGGCAAACCGCATCTACACAGATTTCAGTTGTATGGGCAGCTGAATGAACAAATGCCTAACTTATTGTAATATTTACAAAAGCTACATCCTACATTAGTTTACCTGTTGGTAAGCATCCTGCTGTCAATACTCTGTGTGAACATGGCTGTGTGAAGGTGTTTGGGAAGGGCACCTTCAGAGAGAGACAAATCCTGCATCTTGGCAGCAATCTCAGCATCACCTTCCTATCAAAAATTAAAAACCCCACATGATTGATACTCAAGTCATTGAGCTGTACTTTACAGTGTCCCAGTACCATAAAACAGGAATCTTTTTAGGAAAAGGTTTTGATAACAATATTGCTGAAAAAAAAAGATTTTGAAAAAAGCACTACAGTGCCCAAGAACCATCCTTGACACAAAACAGATGTGGCCTCATTGTGAAATCATGCATTCGTCAAATAAATGAAATCAAAGAAACTCACATTTTTCTACCTGTTGGGCAATTTTCATCAATTTTTGTTTTGTTTGGGGTTCAACACCTTTCATGTCCACTTTTTATGTGCATGAATTTTACTTTAAAAAACGATCAAAGGCACAAAAATGTAAGACATCGCAGCTTTGGAAGTATCCTAACTCTGACGGCCATGTTCTCGCTAATTTTTACCACTGACACCAGATTACCCCCACCCCTTTCATTCACAAATATCTCGACTTCTATTTGAGATAGAAGGGTATTTTTTTTTCATCACAAGCAAGGCAAAAGAACAGGCTCTAAGATTGAGCCAAAAAATTGACAAGCACCTGGTTTCACTGTGTCAAGACCAGACCTGCCACTCTATTTTCCAGGGGATTCCATAAAAATGTATATCTATATATACCTGTATAATATGCCCTGTGTGTGTGTGTGTGTGTGTGTGTGTGTGTGTGTGTGTGTGTGTGTGTGTGTGAGTGTGTGTGTGTGTGTGTGTGTGTGTGTGTGAGTGTGTGTGTGTGTGTGTGTGTGTGTGTGTGTGTGTGTGTGCGTCTAAGAGTGTGTGTGTGTGTGTGTGTGTGTGTGTGTGTGTGTGTGTGTGTGTGTGTGTGTGTGCATGTTATTATTCTTTAATATCCTGAAGCATCACGTCAAGCACTCCTAGTTGTCTAACCCCCCCCCCCCCCCCCCCAAGTCCTGAAAGATGTTTAACCTGCGTGCATGCAGTTAAGTTGATCCCGTCAACTAACAGTCCCCGACACACGCGCAACTCACACGCTTAAGTCATGGCATGTGATGTGAATGCGCAATAACACTGACGGGTCTCGATGGTGGGCCCGACTAACCAGAACTTCAACAAATCTTGTTTTGAAAGTAACAGCAGAACTACGAATAATATTGATCACTTAAATGACGCAACTGAAACAGTCATCAGGCCATTACCGTAGAATTATGAGTGGAAACAAGCGAAAGTTGACCTTGAGAATGTCCCAGGTCGGAATACCAAATCATATAGTAGACATAACACGTGCGAGCAAAGATCCAACACAACTTGGAATGAGTCAACTACTAAATCCGGCATTACCATTCCCGAATTCCTGCTGACAAAAAGTTCAACGTGCGCTTCCCGTGACAGAGAAGAAAGTAGAGTACGTTTAATTTTCGAAAAATCCCGAGCAACAGACGAAACCAAAAAATCGAGATACACGGGATTGAAATCGGGATAATTGGCACTCTTGAGAAATGGGTCAAAACATCGGGATATCCTGATTAAATCAGGATGAGCGGCAGGTCTGCAAGACATGATTTGCGAATGGCAAATGCCTCATACAAACAGCCTGCTTCTTTTGATTGGATAACGTGCCCAAAGTATTAATGGTACTGCTGCTGAAACAGGACTGCTGGTGGCTGAATGGACAACGTAGGAATGGCATGTCTTCTCTTCTGCCAGATCTATCCAGGATCTTTTCATCACCCTTGTTTTTTGAGTAAGCAACGCGAGCTGCTGCCCATGGCTTTAATGTCCTCCCAACTCTCTGAGTTCAAGCTTTCATGATGTGCTTGCAGATATCATGGTACCACAGATGGGGGGCGGGGGGGGGGTGTCACCTTAAGGTCTTTTGCAAGAGGTCAGTTCAGAGTGGAAAATGACTTAGACTTAAGGAACCCCGAGTCTTCCACATAAATAACTCTCATGGCCAAGTCAGTGTTGTCTGAATGGCATGTGCACGGAAAGGAGCTAGCACAGGCAAAGACTTGAGTATTGGGCATTTGAAGCTCCAGCTGAAGCCAGTGATCATGTGGTGAAGGTACAACTTCTGAAAAGTGTTCAGCTTCTGCTCTTGCCTGGCCTAGTTTGTTCAGGAGTTATTCCAGTAGAGGACGGGGCTGACAACACAAATGTTTTGTATTGCCTTTTTGGCGGGAACCGTCAGCTTGGGGTTCTCCTGAATACATTGGCCAGTTGTTCTAGGGTTGTTGCAGCCTCACCAATCCGTACATTATATAGGTACAAATTACAGCTGATGTTAGTGGAACTACAGTAGGTTCAGTATTGTAACATTTCAAACTGACAGTTGTAAATGGTGATGACAGGTGGTGTGTCCATATCCTGGCCCAATATATTGGTCTCTTTTTTTTTTGGTAAGTGTTTTTACGGCGCTCGCAACTGCATACGGTCATATGAGCGCGCGGGACACACCTAATACTTTTAGTGGGTAGGAAATTTTGAATTTTGCCCGGGTGGCGGCCGAAGCCTGCTCTTATCGATTTTAGACCACCAAGGGATCTTTAACGTGCGCAACTTGCACACGGGCCCTCCGAGATTTTTCGCCCTTGTCCGAAAAGGCTAGGTGTAGATCTTTCCTACCAGAAGACCAGGGGTGTGGCAGAAAGACAGCTGAAAGAATGAGTCAAGGAGTAGCAGTAGAAAGGCTGCAGAAAGAGTCAGGAGCTCAGAGGAGGGGGCAAAGGATTTTTTTATCTTTTTTTAATCAAGTAGTACAAAGACAGGGTTACCTACCCCAAATTTCCCATTTCAAGTAGATTCAGGGTCAATTTCAAGTATTTTGTTGGGTTGTTAAGTTCTGTCTTCAAAAATTTTAATTGTGAATAAACAAGCACTCGTTTCTAGTGTCCTCAAATAAATGAGCAAATAAACTAATCACATACTGTATCGAAATGTGGGTGGGCAGAAGCTGATTGGTAAACCTCAAAGATGCATTATTCCCTGCTCTAGACGCTGCTCATTTGTGACGTTATGAACAAGCAAGCAAATGAGCCGACGACACATATCTTGCTGGCTCATTCATGATGTCACACTGCAGCCCCCCCCCCCCCCCTCTAAAAAACAACAACAACAAAAAACACCCTGTGTGTTGATCTTTCAAGAAACAACACACAAATCTATGGAAATAATGATTCTTTCTCCTTGGCATCCAATGCCCTCAACCAATCTTCTCGTTTCTCGATTCCATATAATGAATCAGTAGGTCTAGATCTACGCCTATTCAGCGTTTGCTCTGACACTTCACTAACTCAGGATTACAAAGCTCTAGCTCTAGCTGACATTTTCGGCAGTTTTGAGTTAATAAGATCATGAGGTCTGAAACCATATTCTACCTGCTCTATCGAAATCGTAAGATTATTCGGAGTCGTTATCAAGATTTTCAAAGAATGCATTCGAAAAAGCTTGGCAAGGTGTAAAACTCAAAATCTTTGACATTAAATTTCTTAAAACTAGGCACTGAGTAAAAAAAAAAAAACCCACGTAATTTCGAGGTAGCGACTTGTTAGGCCTAGCCTGTCGCACATCATGTCTATGAATTGCAGTCCCATCAGCTCCCGATGTGCCAAACCCAGGGTGATCAGCGATACATCTTAGGCAGATAATGAATCAGTATCGAGCACTCACTACAGCACTGGTATTTAGGCCAAATAATCAGGTAGTACAAAGACAAAGAAGGAAATAAAAAGATGAACACTACCCCAGTTTAAGTAGTTACCATCGAGCAGAGCCTGCTTCTAGTAATGTTATTATATTTTTAAAACGTGTGTGAGTGTGTGTGTGTGTGTGTATGTGTGTATATGTGTGTGTGTGTGTGTGTGTGTGTGTGTGTGTGTGTGTGTGTGTGTGTGTACATGCCTGTGTGCGTGCGTGTGCTTTGATGTGTTTATAGGTATACATATATAATTTAATGCTTCAAATTTCGAATGGGGAGCCCAGTATACCAGTCTATGAAAAAAAAAAACGTTCGCTGCGCATCGAAGTGATGGTTGCTTGGTGTGGCTACTCATATAGCCTAACGCTTCAAATTTTGAATAGGGCAAGGGGAGCTCAGTGTGCCAGCATAGTATAATGCAAAATCATCGGCTGCATTTCAAAGTGATGGTCTCCAGGTGTGACTACCACAGAATTCTACGCTATTAGAAGCGGAACTCCCTCTTCGCGATCGCCGATTCGCTGTGAGGAATTGAAACTAAAACATGGCGGCCTGTTGAGGGCATCTTTGGCTGCGCCGCACAGCGAGGCTTTGCGTTGCTATGCACGCTGATGCTAGTGGTAGGGCTTGGAAGACACCCTACATCAGTATTTTTAAACTTTCTTCGAAGAGGAAATATAGTGAAATAGTCTAGTACATTTTTATTGCCAACAATATGTCATAATTGGAAATGTTACAATGTTTTTGTATTTGTATTGTTGGTTTGTTGTTTTTTAAAATGATGGGATGGGATCTAGAACTAGATAGATCTAGATCTCAAGATATCTAGATCTACTAAAGATCTTCACAATCACAATACACTTGATAATAACACTAATTATGAACATTAATTCTGTTGGCAAAATATTTAGATATAGTCTTGATTAGTACTAGATCTACGATAAGGCGACGCTGGCAGTAACATGCTCACTACAATAATATTGTCATTAAGCTTAAGGCCATCCAAAGCAAGCAAAAAAGAATAATATAAGCCTTTTCTCCAATTTACTAGAAAGAGATAAATAAATTTAGCTTATATTGAGGAAATGTATTATTTCTCACTTTAAGAATTCATCTGTGTTTGCATCAGTAGTGTGTACAACAACATGCTTTGTTTAAAGCACGTGCGAGTCTAACAAATACAAGAGTAGAGATTAGAGAATGTGTCGGTTGCACATAAAATACATAGGCCTATTGTACATGCTGCCAAAAACACAAAAATGCAGAAAAGGCCTCAAAATATTGGTTTACACATAAAAGCCAATAATGCAAAACAAAGTAAACAAGAGTGG